ACATTGACATTGATGAGAATAACAGGTATAGAATACACAAACATTTTTAAGCATACAAAATTGGTTTAATTTTTCTATTTAAAGTAGAATTATATAATCAAATCATGTTTTTGTAATTTAATAAATGCACAATACTATTGAATATGAAATTTGTCTTATAATTTTAATGATTGAATGTTAAAATACTTGTACAGTCCGATGAGAATTATTATTAAAATGTAAGAAAAAAATATGCAAAAGAATTGCATGGAATATTATAATAGATTATTAGTGTATAAACAGTTTTGTTCCAATACATCCAATACATGTATTATTAATATTAAATATTCAAGCTTATCATTTTCGTTCAATGAATAAAGCAATTTTACATGGGTCGTCCTAAACCACGACCCATCTGAGGTTGCGAATCCTGACTGCTTTTAGGACTCTTAATAGTTTCATCAACTGATAAAATCAGGCAAGCTGCTTCAGTCGCGGCAGTGAGAGCATTAATTTTTACAACAGCAGGTTCCCATACATAAGCTGCCATATTATCTCCAATATCTTCAGTGTTGATGTCAACGCCATAGGTGTACATCCCTTTGTGTTGTTTCTGCCTTAATTTGTTTAAAATATTTGTTGCATCGAATCCGGCATTATCGCATAATTGTCTAAAATTTGCATTATTATGTTTCATATAATCAAAGTAATAATTAGATAAAACTATCATACCTTGGTATAACTTCTAACGCACGAGCTATTGCCGCAATTAACAGTTGTTCTTTGCCTGCTATAACACGAGAGTGATCTCTCAAAGTTTTTGATAATTTCATTTCAATGGCGCCACCACCTGCTACGCAGGCATTAGTTTTGACCATGCGCCTTACAACCATTATGGCGTCATGTAAAGATCTTTCAGTTTCTTCTAAGAATTGTTCTGCTCCTCCACGCAGTATAAATGTACATGTCTTTGTACGCACTCCTTCATAAAACAAATTGAATCTGGAAAGGAGTATATATAATACCAGTTAAGAAGTTAAATATAAAAAAATATATACATATATACTCTATATATGCAAATACCTCTCTCCACCAATTTGCTTTTCTTCGAACATCTCACACTTTCCCAAATCTGAATCTTTAATATCATGTACTGTAGTCAAGATACAGCCACCACAAGCCTTCATTGTTCGTTTCAAGTCTTCTTCAGGAACTCTACCAGCACAGAACATATCTCTATCTGCGAAATATTGTGTAGCAACATCACCAATAGGTAATTTTGATAATACAACTTGGGCTCCACTCTTGTGAATCTTATCTAATTTGTTATATAAAATCTGCCATTCAGCGTCAACTATCTTTTGATATTCAACAACATTATCTACTCGTATTTCAGCATTGTCTCTCTCTGCTTTTAGTTCTAATTCTATATTCAACAAAGCAATTTTACAATCCTTATATTTTTTAGGTTGCATTTCGAATCCAGCATATGAAAATGTTTTTTTAAAAGCAACGCCTTTAATTAATTCTGAATCTTCTAAAGCTCCACCAGACACCTACGCATAAAATATTTTATCACAACAAAATAAAATAAAATTTAAACAAACTTTATTAATTTCTTGTTGGTTTAAAATCTTCCTGTACTTACCTTTTTAATACCAATCATATTAAGGGGTAACAAATCATCAAGCATCAAAACAGCTTTCACAACTAAACGGCTGAAAAATTCTTTTTGTTGATGAATTAACTTAGAACTCATAGATGTAGCTGCGCATTCTTCTAAAAGTTCTGTAAGTTTTGTTTTCTGAGATTTATCAATTTTCACGCTAACAGCATTTATTACATCCACAGCTTTTTGAAGTGCAAGACGAAGAGATTTAATGATAATACGGGGATGTACCCCTTCCTCAATAAAAGGTTTCATTTGCTTCAAAAATTCTCCAGCTAATAAGACAGTACTTGTAGTACCATCACCAACCTACGTTAAGAGAATTAAAATTTATACCTATTATAAAAGTAATTAAAAATAATGTTCGAACAACATTGAAGTAACTTCATATCCTTTATGTGTTACTAGTCTACAAGTTCATTAATATACTCTGTTAATTTTCTGGTAATATTTCACTCGCATATTACCATTCAAATTTGTTTACAGAGACAATAAGATATCTTAAATTAATGAATATTTACTTCTGCATCTTGAGATTTAGCAATATCCACAAGGGTCTTAGCTGCAGGATGAACAACTTCTAGTAGTTTCAAGATGGTTGCACCATCATTTGAAATAGTGGCTTTTCCATTTTGGTCCACAATAAGTTTGTCCATTCCTCGAGGACCTAGAGTGGTCCTCACAGCATCCACTACTATTTGACATGCATTTATGTTTGATATTAATTGCTGCTTTCCTTGTGAAGCATCTGTTCCCTCTTTGAGTAATATTATTTGAGGTTGCTACAAAAGATATTATATAAATTATATTAACTATTATTAGTAATAATAATGATTTTAATACTGTACTCTCATATATCTTCCCATTTTTCTTGTATCAGATTCGAGTATATGAAGTAATTAAAGTTTTCTCTAAACATTTACCACATTTAATGAAACAAATGAACTATAAATTAAACTACTTATTTGTTTTTTTCTGCTATTTGAAATACTAACAAGTACCACCTAACAAGTTTAATGAAATTTACACAAAAGTGTAATATTTTATTACTGAAATTCCTGTTATAGGTATATTGTGGGTGTAAGCCGAAATTAATCGCCATATAAGGTTAGAACTGCTCAACCTATAATTTAATGATCATTTTTATGCGTATTAACCTTCGTTTTATATATATCAGTCTTATTTAAGTGCTTTACTTATTATCGTAAAAAACTCTATTATTTGCATACATAGGAAATATTTTCTATTATATTCTGTCATTATAGACAGAAAGCGGCTTATAACGAAATTGGAAATGTGTGGAGGTGTGCTAAAATTAATAAATCGAAATATCATTTTTGTTACTACTGAAATAAAAATTTCACTTGTTACTTACCATTTCTGTAATTTTAGTAGTAATTTGATGGATTTTTCAATTTCACTCACTGTGCACGAGCACAATTGTTACTCTAACCTGTAAACGGTATTCGAGATGATTCCGCTGGGATACGCTAACACATAGAGGACCTACTCTGTGATTCAAGAATTACAGAAGCATAAGCATCAAATCACAAAATGGAAGTGAGTGTGAAGTAGAGTTTAAATTTCTGTAGAGATTAATTTGAAGTGAATTTCACTAATTGAAAATTGATGAATAAAATCTTTGAACTTAATTAGAAAAGAATGATAGTAACAAATGTAATAACATAATGAAAAACATCTTAAATTAATTCGAGAAATAGTTCAAAAAAGATTATATTGTTTTGAGATATATTCTGAGTACAGAAAACGTATTTTCAACACTATATGTGCATTATATTATACATATGTATCCAATTATGTTTGAACTTTTACATAGTAGACCATTATTGTTATATTGAATTAGCACATTATTGTATTAACTGTTTTATTAATAATATTCCTCCTATGATAATTTCATCACAGTTAATAAAGCTTCATAAAATTGTTGCTCTATAACAGATTGTACATAGCATTTCATGTGCAATTCCTTTGTTAAGGTCTTAGTTTTTCACTTTTATATATTAAAATTTCGTTTGTATACTCATACTCATGTACATACTTATGTACATACTCAATCTCATGTTGCATCCAATGAAAAATAGTGACTACGTTGCGACGCTAACGTGGTAATATTATGTTATATCATTTCTCGAAAAACATTATTCAGTAATATAATATTTTGTCATTAATTGTATTACCTAAAAGTCTTGTAATATTATTCAGAAATACTCATCGTTTTATTTCACATACAATTTTTAATTCAGATATTACTAGATAATACTTATATAGTAATAGAAGTTTCTTATTGTTAATATTATTAATTTAATTATGTTATTATTATTGAGTTCTAAATACATTTTCACTGAAACAATTAATTAAAACAGTTAGCGCTTGTAACTGCTTTATCCTCTCGACCGTATGTTGTGATGACTATGAACAGATGGCGCAGAAGTGGAGAAAAGGAGCAATTTTTCACTTGCTAGGATATGCAAGATATGAAGTTGTAGAGGATTTTAGTATTCGTTAATATCGCGATAGGGTAATATTATAATTCTTGACCTAATTACGTGAATAGAGACTAGAATTCGACATTTCTCGCATATTTATTTTTAAACGTAACTGTATTCCCCACAAGCTCAAACTGTATATATTTATACATGCATCAAATGCCACGGAACCATCTATTTCTTCGAGAATAGCTGAACCACCGCTGAATTCACTCTAGTCGGGTTGCTGCGTTTGAACGATGTACTCATTCTTCTAAAATACAATTCCAAAAAGTGTATATTGTGTGTTCTTCAATACTTTTACTCTTAAGTGTCACTCTACAAAATCGTGCTTTTACGTACACTTTCAAACACGAGGTAAAAATAAATCATCACTAATCACTTTAACAATCATTTTATACGATTTCTGTATGCCAACTGCCTTTTTTAAAGTCCGGTCTGAGATGATTAGAACGATGACTTATTCTAACATAAATTTTAGGATCTTTTTCATTTATACTTACAAAAAGATTAGGAATATTATGAAGTGTAAGGTGCTGCGGATTTAAGTTTACCAGTTGTCAGTGTCATGTAGTTGATGTTACCACCAGTAGTGGTATAGTATATGTCTCAAATTCAAACGATAAAAATGATTGATGCTGTATGTATACAATCCTATGCCCTACATCCAACTTAGAAGCAAGATGCTGACCTTACATCCTTGCACATGCGTAAAAATGACTCCCACCTGATGACGATGAGCCAATGACAAATCGATATGTTCGAAATTTTCACGTAGAAGCTCGAAAGCTTTGACTATTCCTCTGAATAGTTAATAGTGAAATCTTTACTTCGATCCATGTCGCACAGTAAGTAAACAGTCACGTATGTTTTATTTGTGCGGACAGTGCTACTATGGATGTGTAATGATAAAAGGGTATATCGAATTTGTAAATACAATGTTCGCGTGTCTGTAGTCCCGCCAGTTTCTGAAAAATTAATTCTTTTTATTTTCCCTACTTGACATCACTTAACTGCGTAAGTGTTTCCGTTTTTCATTTAAAGCGGATAAAATTATATATTCTCGCAATGAAAACTTTATTTAAATAAAACAGTGTTTACATTCTATAATTATATTTGACAAAGTAACATGTCTTTTCATTTGGCTACGTACGAAGTTATGTAAGACGTGTGTTAAAGTGTAATCCTACGATGTTTTAAGTGTTTCTATATTTTTGTGTTGTGAAGTAAAATGTATATAAACGTCATACATTAAATGATATTTAACGAGTTATCATACGATCTAAATCAGATAAACAAAATTGTTCCACTTTTCAATGACGCCAATTATAAAAATATTTGAACGATCTTGCTTCGCTAAGTGTAAGTACTACTTATGTCGTGGACGTGTCAATTTTCAGCTTCCTCATTAGGAGACGCATTATAACGATACGTACCACTGTAGTGACCCGTTTTGAAATAAGGCGACAGAAAATTTGGTAGATAATAAAAGTAAACCAATTCCGTTTTTAAATATACACCGGAAATTGTTCAAGAATACTACAAACAATAATATAATTTCTTACGAAATAAAATAACTTAAATTTTTTTGTTTTTAAGTTTTAATGATAGAAACATTTCTACATGAAATATTTTGTTTGCATAGACGGCGAACTGATGCGATCAACTATTTATAACGTTGTCAAGTAGTGCAAGGTAGTCACTGAGTTGCACATAACACATAACGCTTAGTCTTATTGGGAAACATTCAAGTATGAAAATTGCTTTAAAGTTCAAGGGAAAAGGCAAACACAAGACACAAAATATAACGATCGATAAGATGGAAATATCAAAGTGAAACTCTCATTGCTAAGATATATAGGAAAGTTTCTAGCATTAAATCTATTAAACTTTTTATGAACAATTTTTCGATTTTTATACCTATTTGTAGCCTTATATAATTCTTGGTATAATCGTGTTTATATTACAGCCTCATGCATATATAATAGTTTTTTATTGTGATGGAGCGGTCAGTGATGAATCACACCATTTTTTAAATGTTTATTTTGTTGATGTAAAATCATGGCCGAACTCTTTCGTTTTATGTCCTATATATATATATATACATAATAATCTAAGAATATTTATTATTGAATCTATCTGCTTTAAAATAATTTTTCTAATGGATAATAAAGATAAATTATAGCATTTTAAAGTTGCTTTTCAAAAACGGCAATTATTTTTGCACCAATCAAATATTAATGACTCGATGGCTATTGGTGGATCATATTATACGGTTATATCCTTATCGTCAACGACCTTAAAACGTGAAAATCACACTTTCACTTATTGATTTATTATTAGTGTGACTACTGCTGACTCTTGTATTTCAGATTTTGTTAAACATGGTGGAATAGCCATTATTAATACTATTTACAGTTGTACATTTTTAGTATGTTTATTATTATCGATCTCCACAGTAACTGATGACCAGTTACTGATATACCGTTACTATGGGCAACGTCTTATCAATTAAATTGTTATCAATTAGATGCGATGGCATGCGAGTTTTATTCATTGTCAGTTTTATATTCGTTTATATGTCCGTCATCAGTTGTAATATCTATGAACATTGTTACTTGTGGTTTATATTATTCAAGCTACTTATTTATTAAATAAGTTACATGTGTTTATTACTAGTTCGATTATTTTAGTAATACTGTATAGATTTGTGAACAGAGAGTGAGTACATTTTAAATAAAAAGTACTGAAAATAGTAATTGAGGTGCTAATTTTACATTTAAGGATATTTAAAAATACAATTTAAACAGGAAAGACAATTTCGAAAGAGGAAATACAATTATTTGGGCCTTGCGGCTTGTTTTTATAGTTGTTGAAAATCGGTAACTATAAAAATGAGCCGCTAGGCTCGAATAATTGTATCTTCTCTTCCCAAAATTGTCCATTTTTGTGTATAATCTGAGCGTTAATTAGGGAGAATTTACTGTATATTCATTATTATATATGAATTAAAATTATTAATTAACATAATATATTTTTTATCTCCTACAACAAAATAATTATTTGAAATAATACTTTTTTGACTTTGTTAAAAATAATTATTTTGAATAATATCTTTTTGGACGTATATAATAAATCATTGTTTTATATAATTTTTCATGGCATTAAAATTGCAATAAAGAGTCATCTAAGATATCACTGATAAATTTGTAATATATAAGTAAATAAAATAATTGAAATTCAGGACGAATTTTAAATAGCATTCCTATTAAAGCGAATGTAAATAATTTTTTCGAATGAAGTAATACTAATACAGTTTAGGAAATAACCTTCGAAAATATTTTTATTTTTCATTTCATATTTTATTTTACTTAGCACTGTTTGTGGATGATGAAATGCTACGCGACATTGTTACAACATTACGATCTCACAAAAGTGTTCATACACCTTTTAAAACGCAATTTTTTGAAACTGGACTAAACGATTTGAATTTTTAAGATGATGGAGGAGTTGGTCTACTAGATAATGATTAAAATGCTTCTTTTTAATTTTACTATTACTTGGAATGACAAAATAATAAAAAAAACTCTCGTTTTGTAACTTTTTTATCTGAGTCCATAACGAAAATTTGGAAAATACCTTTCGTAAATCTTGGTAACTTATATGCTTAACAATGCGAATCCTTATGTTAATTTCAATTTTCGTGAATTATTTTATGAACATCAAGATGAGTAACGAAGTCAATTTATCGACTAGAAACTTTATGGGAAAATTGTAGTAGAGATGTCATTAATATGTGTTCTTATACATACGCGTTTTCTTGTATTTAGAAAATGTGTAAGTATCATACATTCATAACGGCCAGTAGTCTATGGCATTTATTTGGCAATGTTTATCGATGCTGTTAATTTTACTGTGTTACATAAACACCCCACCAAATATAATTCTATCATTAAAGTATTCGTTGGATTGTGAACTTTCTGAAACAAAACAAAATATCTTATTAACTTTAGAATTTCGAACCAACAGTTGCTAATATATTTTCATTCAAAAATCCAAATTTTTTTAACTTCGTTACAAAAATACAGTATTCTATTGAAGAAGATAAAATTGGCTTACGAGCCATTAAAACGTCTCCAATTTTACAAAAGCGATCCTCGCGTGATGCGGTACTTACGTAACGCTATTCACAAATTATGGCAATCGTTGCATAACACTGTTTGCAATTTCCCATAACTTTGCATGTTTACATGTATACCCAGAAAAGTACGAACTGACGGAACTAGCGATTTGACTTGTCAAAATACTGCAGCCACACATCCTCTTAGTCCGTGTATTCACAGTGTTAAAAGATTTGTTAAAAGTTCTTGTCAAGTTTAAATAAACATGGATCAACATATATTAATATTTATAATAATAATAATAATTTTATTTATTTATTATTATTATATATAGGAATGACGAATATTAATAGAAATTGTTACTATAATCTTTGTATTTTTACTATAGGAGACATTCTAGTTACCAGAATCAATGTTTCCCTCATTTCCCTGATCACGATAATGAACAATTGAAAAATTGAATGTGCATAAAGATTTAGTCACAGTCCAATAATCAGATATGGGAGTAAGTTTACTGATCTTAATAATCGCGATTATCTTTGCACATTTAATCTGTGTAATATTTTCATTAACGATAAAAACAAATGCAATGGTAAGGTTCGAATGAATATGTCTGTTTTTTAAGTACGTACATAATCACGAGAGAGATTGATTTTAAGAAGCGGTCAAATATTTATAAAAAGATTGAAAAATTATTTTTTAGCTTTTTAGCTTTAAAGTTTAGTTAAACAATGAAACCAGAATTTCAATTTCTTTATTTTGAATAAAAAAAGAACGAGTCCAAATACAATATATACATATTAAAAATATAAACTATTTCAATTTGTTTGCATATTATTTA